AAAAATGTGATTGTATTTGAAAATAATATTATATAAGTAAAATATAAGTTCTAGATAATTTTCTATAATTGAAAGATATTATAGTCAACTAAATATATGAAAAATAAATAAAAATTCAATAATACTAATTATAAACTATTTTACTACTCTAAAAGTATATTTTATGTTATTTAAAAATATTTTTAAATGTATTATTACTATTTTGTGAACTTTCCTTTTTTATGAAATTATATTATATATACATATTTTTATGTTATTTAAAAATATTTAAATGTATTATTACTATTTTGTCAACTTTCCTTTTTATGAAATCATATTATATATACATATATTTTCGTTTTAAATTTGTTTTTATGACTTTATAAGAAAATGCTTTTTTATTACATATCTTTTTGGAAATTTTGGAAAAAGAAAAACTAAAAATAAAAGAATTAATAATAATAGTTTCAAAATTCATTAAGGGTATCAATGTAATCAACCATCGTGAGAATGAACGTGAGAGCGACACATAAGAAACTGACTTCTCAAATAATATTATAGAGATAGTTAAATGTTAATTATAATTTAATACATCTGATTATCTATTTCATAGGGCAACTGCCCCCTTTCTCTGAGTTATTCTTGGGTTCACCCTATAGGGTGAACCTCTAGATTCACCATCCAATAGGATTTCACTATTTCATATTTGATATCTTTCAAAAAAGGAAACAAAATCTTGTTAAGTTATATTATGTTTTTAAAATAAAAATACAAAAATAAATAAATAATAATAAGGGGCAATTTGCCAAATAACTATAGCAAAATTCAAAATTAAAGATATAACCATAAGGAATGTGATGTGACAATTAACGCCGTTGTTGGACGATTTTCACCTTACACACGCCTACGCGACTGTAAGAGGCGAGTGAGCAATGCAAGACAATATACTATAATGCATATGATATAGTATAGTCAGTGAAAACAAACCATAAACCATGAATCCAAACCATTAACCCAATATATATATATGTTATATACTATACTATAGTATATATTGGATAGTATAGGGAATACAATAACACATAAAGCAACCTTCGAGACTAACATCCAAAAGGGGTACACTATGTTGAAATGCTACTAGATATATAAAGCTAAATATTCAGGTGTTTTGAGAGGAAACATATAAACATGCACGAAATACAAAATGAGAAGAGTGACACATTTCTAAAGTGAATTTACATACTATACTATTGTATACAAGTACTAGTATAGAAAATATAACATCTTACCTCACAAATCACCTACAAAATAACAATCAAGCATATGGTCTATCAGGTATGAAACTGTATTCATTGTTGATAGGTAAAACTGTGTTGATTGTTGTTAGGTAAAATATAGAAGGAGAGAGAGAGGGAGGGAGACATGGACAAGGACTTGGGCATGGACATAAAGAGGGAGAGGGAGAGAGGGAGAGGGGAACAGGGAGAGGGAGTGGGAGAGTGAGAGGAGGAGGGGGAGGGGAACGGGGAGAGGGGGAGGGGTATACAATAGCAGGTGACATGTATGTATAGGTTATATACTATAATATAGTATATATTGGATAGTATATGGCATACATTAACACACAAAGCAACCATTGAGACTAACATCCAAAAGGGGTACACTATGTTGAAAGGTGACTAGATATATAAAGCTAAATATACAGGTGCTTTGAGAGGAAACATATATACATGCACGAAATACAAAATGAGAAGAGTGACACATTTCTAAAGTGAATTTACATACTATACTATTGTATACAAGTACTAGTATAGAAAATATAACATATTACCTCAGAAAATATAACATCTTACCTCACCAAAGTATAGTAAAACTGTAACGAAGTCATGTGGTGGAGGAGAATGAAAAGGATGTTGGTTGTTTGCAAATGAAACCAATATACAATATGATGAACATACTGGAAATGACAGAAGTATACAATAGCAGGTGGAATGTATGCATAGGTTATATACTATACTATAGTATATATTGGATAGTATAGGGAATACATTAACACACAAAGCAACCATCGAGACTAACATCCAAAAGGGGTACACTATGTTGAAAGGCGACTAGATATATAAAGCTAAATATTCTGGTGCTTTGAGAGGAAACATATAAACATGCACAAAATACAAATGAGAAGAGTGACACAATTGTGAAGTGAATTTACATACTATACTATTGTATACAAGTACAGTATAGAAAATATAACATCTAGCTCACAAATCACCTACAAAATTATATTCCATTTACAAAAGAACAATCAAGCATAGGGTCTATCAGGTATGAAACTGTGTTCGTTGTTGATAGGTAAAACTGTGTTGATTGTTGGTAGGTAAAATATAGAGGGAGATGGAGGGATACATGGACATGAACATAGAGAGGGAGAAGGAGAGGAAGAGGGAGGGGGAGGGGTTGAGGGAGGGGGAGAGTGGGAGAGGGGGAGGGGGAGCGGGAGAGGGAGAGGGAGGGGGAGAGGGAGGGGGAACGCGAGAATGAGAGTAATCGGTGTACGGTTACTATACTATTAATTTTTTCATATAGTATAGGCTTATACTTCATCTTCTTCATCCTTCACTGTTGCGTCCAGCCCCACCGTAAACTACTTCAATTAGATCTACAAAGAAAATTGAATTCTGACCAAATATAATGTATTACAATACAGTTTAAACTATTATTTTCATGGTTGAAGTATATAACTCCGATTTTTGCTTCCTTCCATCACTGAAGTTTTGACGCCTCCTCAATCTCTCTCGTCTTTTTCCAGTTTGTAACCCCATATAATGTATTACAACTAAAGTTTAGAAAACGAAAACTACGATTCACTTCCACGCGCAAGCTGAGGATAAAATGGGGAATAAAGAGAAAAAAACCAATTGTATCATAACTAAAGCCGTGCTATGGTTATTTTCTCTTTTTTTTTGTTTCTTATGGCTATTGGCCCTAATTCCCCTAATAATAATAATTAATAAAAACGAAAATGATTTTTTTTTAAAGAAAATATTTTAACACTAAACCCTAAACTCTAATCCTAAAACATAAACTCCTAGGTAAATCATAAACCTTTGGATAACTTTTATAAAAAAAAAAGTTCTTTAAAAAAAAATATTTTAACACTAAATCCTAAAATCTAATCCTAAACCCTAAACCCTTGGGTAAATCATAAACACTAAACCCTAAACCCTTGGGTAAATCATAAACACTAAACTCTAAACTCTAATCCTAAACCCTTGGGTAAATCATAAATATTAAATTTTTAAAACACTATAAGATTTATCTAAAGGTTTATGATTTAACAAGGGATTTAGGGTTTGTGATTATAGTTTAGGGTTTAATGCTAAAATATTTTCTTTAAAAAGAATTATTTTCGTTTTCTTTATTTTTTATTTATTTATTTGTTTATTTTCTATTTTTATTTTAAAAACATAATATAACTTAATAAGATTTTCTTTCCTTTTAAAAAAGATATCAAATATGAAATAATGTAATCCTATTAGATGTGTGAATCTAGATGTTCACCCTAGGGGGTGAACCTAAGAATAAGTTTCTTTCTCTCTATCTCATTCCACCACATTATATTACAAGTCCTTAAATAAATTTTTAAAAATATTTATATAAACCCTTACTAAATTATCTATAATCTCCAGAATTTTATGACGTACCCTCTCAATCTGCCGTTGCTGCATCTTGATCATGTTGAGGTGATGAAAGCACATAAGATAATCGAAAGGGTTCAGAAGGAGCAGAAGACTGCCTTCGGAATCAAAGCAGTCATCGCAGTGACTCTGACTTACATGAAAACTTTCCAGGTGTTGCGTTTGAGCAGTGTGTTGCGTTTGGATTGTGGTTGAAGCGGGTGGTGTGAGTAATGAGACGGGTTTGATCATTGATAAGTCAGGGCTTAGGGTGATTCATAATCATGGTTGCCTAATACTTGGGATTAGAGTTGTGAAGGAAGAGAAGCTTGGTGTGGTTGTGATTTTGTGGATGATAGTAATATGCATAGATTGGAGTTCTTTGATGAAATTCAGATTGTGAAGTGGTTATGTGCTGTCTCTGTTGGAATCCTGGCAAATGCAGTTAAAGATGGTTACCTCGATGAAGGAGGAAGAGAACTCTTTGTACAAGTTCCTGCTTGTAACTCGTCTGATAAATTGATTGGTTGGCATGTTTTTAACACGTTTCAGTATGCAAAGAGGAGTACAGTTTATATAGTTGCTGTTGATGCGGTTTTGCCTCAGAATATAGTGGTACGGTTTGTGTTGAACTCGAGGTTGCTTTGGGAGGAAGGTGAGAATAAGCCGGAATGGGTTTAGGAATTTGGGTTGTTGAGTGCGAATTGAGGTGTGGAGAGTCCTTTGTCTCTATTGAATGATCCTTCTATCTTGGAGCCTCTTGTAAGCTGTGGTTCTGTGGAAGCACACGCTTATAGAAAATTCCTACAACATTTAGCAAAATCCTAAAACTGAAACGCCGAAGTGAGAGAAATAAACATGAAGCTAAAGCAACCGATGCAAACAACCACACTAGTTTCTTCCTTATCTTTGTATAAGCACCATCAAGAAAGAAATTGAGAAAGAATAGAGATCACAAGAAGAACATCCATCTGCCATTATTATTCATATGTTGCCAAAGTTTTTATCTTTGATACCGCAAATAATATGTTGGACCTCCCAAAGAGGAGAATAATGATCATTCGGTTTTTTATTTTGAGTATTACAGAAAACTTATATTTACTGGTTAGAGCATCTCCAACTCCACTCTAAAACCCACTCTAAACTCTATTTTGCAATAAATTCATCTCCAACCCTATTCAAAAATCCATTCCAAAATAGAGTAATAAACATGATTACTCCAAATATGGAGTAAACCAACTCATTACTTCAAAATGGAGTTGAACTTTTTTATTTATAGAATGGTCTTCTACATTTATATATTTTTCATTTTTAATTAAATATTATTATAAATAAATATATTAATATTATTATAAATAATATATTAATATTATTGTACTATATATAGTATAAAATTTACTGTTAATTTTTCTTAATTATATAATTAGCCTCACTTTTAATAAAATATTATTATAAATAAGTATATTAGTATTTTTTACTATATATTATAAAATTTACTGTTAATATTTTTTAATTATATAGGCCTCGTTTTTAATAAAATATTATTATAAATAATTATATTAATATTATTTTACAATATATATATTATAAAAGTTACTGTTAATATTTCTTAATTATCTAAATAGCCATTTGATGAACTCTTTTAAACAACCAAATATATATAATATAAAACATAAAAGATCATACATACATAAAATAAAAGATAAGCACCATACAAAAGAAATAACATAAAATAAAATTTACAACAAAGATAATTGCTTAATAATCCAATAAATCATTTTTCGGATCCATTAAAATTATTAAAATAATCTAATAAAATATTATTAAATTCTTACATAACATGATAATAGAAGATGAACGTGATCTCGAGGCGCCAATTGAAGTTGAAAGAGAAGTTTTGTCTATAGAAGTTGAAATTATTCTAATTCTAATTCTAATGAATAATTTATAATTGATGTATTATTGTGTTTAAGCTATGTAATGTAATTTTTAATGTACTAAATGTTTTCTTTTAAAACCTTGTTGAGTACTTTTATTTATATAATAAAAATTTAATTGTGGTTAATATTGTATTTTAATAGAAATGCTATAAATTGAAAATGGATTGTTTTGCAAATAGTATAAATGAAAGGTGATATTACTAATTTTAAAATAAATATAAAACATAATATATTAGAAATATTTTTTTGAGTAGAAAATAAAATAATACTTTGGAGTAAAACTCAACTGTATTTTGGAATTATTCCATTTTAGAGTAGAAAATGAAGTAATACATTGTAGATGTTCTTACAAACATTATGTGTTTCAATGTTCTTGAGGTTACAAAAAGTGTAGAAACAAAACTTGTGTTGCATAGTTTGTTTTGTAAGCATATTGGATATTTCTCAATTTATTTTGTTTTCTCACCAAATAATCATCAGAATCATCTCATGGACCTAAAACTTCAAAGCCTCAGTTTTACTTGTGGATTATGTAAATCAGTTACTCTTACAAGTTCACTTCTTAGATATTAAACATAGAAATTTGTTTTTATTTAAAATAGGAAGCATCTAAATATTCGGACCCTTAAACTCAATTCTTTCAAAACATGTATGAATTGAAATGGTCTGGTCACAGATTGTCACATTAATTTATCCGCAATTTGGTTTGTAAAAGAAAAACTGATAAACCGCATGACTTGTTCACGTAGAATTGAATGGTGTTAGAAGCTACGTGTGACGTTAATTATATGTATAAAAAATAGTACTATTGGAGATGAAGACATTGGAAAAGATACCTTCATGAGAAGGTATTGTGAAGAAAGTAAATACAAAACAGAATCATTTTCGTTGAAGTAAGAGAATATTAAAGAAAAAGAGAAAAGGAGACAAAGACTGCAAACAGACTAATAACTGAAATAATGGAGGATGAGGATTGGGCGGTTTTGTCAGATCATCACATGACTTTCTTTAACCACGAAAAAATAAACTAAAGAACCTAACTCTAAATTGTCTCTATTTTCATCTAACCTATAGAAATTCCATTTTAAAATACAGACGTTTTCACTTAACTATGCCTCATTATTACATGGAACTGAAATTCATATCTGTTTTAGAATTCTTTTAACTAAAAGCGTGTAAGCTCGGTATATATAAATAAATGAGACTGCTAACGGTAGATGTGGATCATGGAGACATGGACATAAACTAAAGTTGGATAACAAAAAAATTAGTTGAACTTTCTCTTCCCTATTTAATCGAACTTTTCCACTTATTAGTATCTATGCATTTTTAACATTACTAGGGTCTTTCTCCGCGCTACGCGCGGATACATGAATAAATAGTGTAGGTTATGATCATAATTTCCAATGCTATTTTTGGATTGAGAACACTGTATTTTTTCTAAATTTAAAAAAACTTGGTGATTATTAAATGTTTGCAGTTTTGTATAAATAAAAAGAATAGCTTAAATGACCATAAATAATGTAAGAAAGATATAATGTCTTTGAAGAAGAGAAGAGAGATAGCGGTGATATGGACCATATGAAAGAGATAGCCTAAAAATAAAGATACATATTTAGCATAGCTGGGCAGAGACTCTGTGTAAGTCATTATTTATGTGATTGTACCTTCCTTTGATTGATATGTTGGGCATTGTAAATCTGTTGAATGAAATTATTTATAAGAAGATCGTTTTAAAAAGTGAAAGTGAAATGTTAATACTTAATTAAACATACATTTGTGAGGAGGAAGGCCTTTGAATATTTCTTTGTAGACTATGCTCTTCACTTTTAACCGGTGTAAATCTTTGCCTTTAATGATTGTTAATCTTGTTTTGCTTGTTATACGTGAGAGGGCCACATAAAATTGACCATGAGCGAAGACCGGTTTAGGTAGATTTAAGATTACCTCTTTTAAACTTTGGTCTTGGCTTTTGTTGATTGTCATTGCGTAACACAATCTGATAAGGAATTGCCAAGACGAAAGGTGAACGGTAGCTTTGTTTCATCATACAAAAGAACAATCCTTGGGATCAAGAATTCTTTTCAAATGTGGGAGAGGGTGATAATTTCTGTCTTCAGCACGCGATCGCCTATGTGGGTTAGAATCATACGTGTACCACTGCATAATCCCTTCCTTTGATTTATGTTTCACAGAAGCATAGTTGAGACACCAACTTTGAGAGTGAGTTTATGCGATGAGAATCCTAGATATTCCAAGGAATTGAGATATTCAACCACGTATAATATATCATTTTGATTCGATTGAGTTTCCGCTATCTCAAAGCTATCGTAACTGAAGTAATCTCGTGACAACCCGTCGGTTTGAGAGATGGTATAAGAATTGATTTCATCGACGGTTTCGCTACGGAGTGTGACTATAGCTCTAGTGTATGAGCTTCAGGAGGTCGTGGTTTTGTTGACTTCTTCATAGGCATCATTGGCAACTTGTTTTAAAGGGTCATCATAAGTCTGGCGAATCAAAAATTTATCAAAAGTTATCATCTGTTCATTGGAGTCTTTATACTCATTTTCTGATTATGGTTGTGAACTACTTTCCCGGACATAAAGGAGCCAGTCGGAGAATTCTTTTTGTCCGACTCTCATATTTATTTTTAAAGAGAACATGTGGCAGCTATCTTTTAGGTATGAATGACTTATTGAAACCAAGACCGTCTCAGCTCTATTACCTTGTGACATTACAGGTAAAATATGTCTAAAATCACCACCCAATATAACTGTATTGCCGCCAAAAACCTGATCCTTTCTAGTCGGATTTTTTCCTAGACATTATATCTTTCAATGTTTTGTCTAACGTTTCGAAAGCATGCTTTATGTGTCATAGGTGTTTAATCCCAAATTATAAGATCTGTTTTCTCAATTAGCTCAGCCAGCATAGTACTTGGTTTTATATTGCAGAGCTTATCTTTGGAGAGCTTTAAAGGAATATTATAGCGTGAATGTGCTGTTCTTCCGTTAGGTATTAGCAATGCAGCTATTCCTGAAAAGGCAACCGGCAGAATTATTTGTTTTCTTGACTGAATTTTTCTTTTTGTTTTGTATTTACTATTTCGTTACTTCTCGTATCATCGCACCACATATCGATTGTTTTTGAATTAATCCTATCAAAATTCTTTGGTTATGCATTTTATTTTTCTCTGGAAGTCTTAGGACGGAGCATCTTTATAATGAAACTAAATTTGCCTTACCACTATAATTTTTTAGGGAAATTTAATTTGCTGAAAATGTTTTTGTATAGAAAACAAAAGAACGAAATTGTTTTAGATGCAGATGCCCACATTGTCTTCCTTTTTCTTTGTAATCAGTGGTTGGTTGGTTTTTATACAAAATATACAATTTGTTCTAAATATAAAAGGCAGAGTACTCCAACACATAATCTCCAATTTCCGTTGTTCATCACACATAAAAATCATCATCTTTCCAAAAAGAACAATATATCCTGATGATTTGCAGATCCAACACTTCATGAATTTTAAGATTTAAAGTAAACATCAGTAGCTAAATTCCATAAAAAATGTCTATGTGCGAAGAGGAACATCGCAAACGCTTTGTATACGATAACATACCTTTGTAGATTTCTCCATATGCACCTTTAACGCTCACTGGTCTGCAAACCACCCTTCCTCTACCTGAAAATCCTTACTGGTTTTGAAATCTAACTTGGCCATGCCTAGATCTTTGTAATTATGACCGACTCTATTTCCAAGTTCTTATAAAATCCTTTAATTTCTTCTCTCTTGGTAAAATCCAAAGGCCAGTACACTCGCAGTCCCTGATTAAATTAATCATTCAGCAATGAAGTAGCATTTTGAAAAATTAAGTGAGGGAGAAGATACTTAACGAAATATTATACCAAAGCGCCAAAAACATTACTTAAACGACTACGTTAATGCTATCAGACATATAATAGCATTTTTCTAATGCTAAGAAAATATATTCGAACCCTTAAGCCGTAGATATGATTTTAAACTCTAAGCTTTAAGACAACCCTTAAAGCTCTAATCTTTTATATTATAACTTCAAATCTTAAAAATTAAATTCAAAATTTGATCATTTAAATGTTAAAATATAATTTCTTAAACACAAATCTTAAATCTAATCAAATCCGAAATCATATCTGAAATGAAGTGTGTAAGTTAAAACCCTAGACCTAATTTTAAACCCTAAACTTTATACATAAACTTGAAACTCTAATATTTACAAAAATAAACTCAAATTATAATATTTTCCAGAAATCAATCTAAAATCTTAAATCAAACCACAAAATTGTAACTCTCAAACCATATACTCAGATATTTATTCTGAACTCCAAACTTTATATTTAAACTTTTGAACTCTTAATACATCAAATCTTAAATTAAAAGTCATAAAAGTATTAAATTTATTTAAATATGCACTTTACACTAATAATATATAAATTTCAATTTATTTTACATAAGTTCATTTTGTAAAATTTCTTGTAAAAGTAAAACCTAATCAATTTGTTAAAGTAATATATCATTAAATTTATAATTATAAATGCTAATTTTATTTTTATATAAATAAAATTACTTACACAATTAAATTATATTATTTAAATAACTATTAATAAAAACAGTTTTTATTGGTTAGTTTTGACCATTGATGTTTTTAATCTGTTTAGAAAAACCATTTTGCTAGAGAACCCCAACGATCCAAGCTTTTCACAGGATATCAGCTTAATGGGTATTGATCAAAACAGTTGAAGAGACATTAGTTGGTACTTTTTCTAAGCCAAAAAGTTTTTTTTTTACTGAGCTTTAAGACAAATAGTTGCAGAAAATAGTATTACAGAGTAGTTACCTGGTCGCTTGGCTTGGAGAGGTACCTCTCCTGCTGCAACTCCCAAGCTGCGGTTGAAACACGTAGTATATAAAGCGTTATAAAAATGACATTTAATGTAACTTTTCATACATACGGGAATAGAGCTGTTGTGAAAGAGGAACTTTAAAGAAGGAAAGCTGTTGTAAGGAACCTGCATCATTCTACTGACAAAAAGCTTAACCTGGTCCAATGGTAGATCAGCCAATAGATACGTAATAATGACCTGCCATTATATAGTGTTGTAACAATTCGATCATTCAAGTGCCAACAAAATCACCCACAAGTATCAGAAACAATGACGACAACCAAATCTGATATCAACCTACAATTTTTTTCTAGAAAGAAGTTCCCAATATAATCGTAAGGTAAATTATTACATATACCAAACCAAGAACTTCCCTAACGAATGCTATACTTACCTTAAATCTAGCTCTAGTACATGGAAGACGTGGATTTGGTCTGGACATGATAAAAACGTTATCCTTGATTAGAAAGGTAAGGACTTTTACAAACGGGTGCATAATAAAATTATATTATTGAGCAATATACAGTACAAATGCTTTTAAACTATATAAGATTACCTTTCTATCTATCAGTCTTGGATTGTCTTCTCCACCATTTTTGAGAAACTAAAGGTTCGACGTTAAAGAACCTCAAATAGCGTGAGTGAGATTGTGTTTCCAGACTAATCCCTCAACTACTTTTAGGGATCTCTGTTTTTGGGTATTCTCCAAGGAACGCTTAAGTTCTGTAGCACGTTGGCACGACAAAAACCGGACAAAAGGTGCTCTATTCGTACTGTCCTACAAAAAAATCAAGAAAATGTTTACAAAAAAGCTCAGTATTATAACATAAGAAACCAAACTTTTGGAGGGAAGATAGTCACCTACACCACAAAAAGGAATGGATGCAGTGCCAGCCATTCTAATTCAAAACCCACAAAGCTACATCTCATTACTCGGCATAGAAGCCACTACACAAGTAATACAACCCACAAAGCTGTGTTATTCAAACACATACACAGCCATTCTAAATCAAAACAACCATAACTAACTGGTGAAGTCACTAGACAGTAAATCATCTAAAGATAGTTAGCAGAAAATTCGAAAAGACTACCTTTATGCAGCAATTGTAGGTTCTTGGACCTCTCCAACTCATATATTCGCTTCCATTCAGCAGTTTCAGCTTGAGCCAATGCCTTTCCTTCAGAAGATCCTCTTAAAGCCTTTGCAACAGCTACCAAATAAATGAAAAAACCCCTTAAAAGTAAGGCCAAAGGAGAAAGAAAACACACAAAGTATGAAGCTTTTTGCTTGGGGCAACATGATCCAATCCAAAGCTGACTTACTTCTCAAAGCCTCTGAGAACTCAATGAGATGATCGTCATTAGCCTGCATAGGAGTCTGCTGAATAAGAAACTCCTAAACAGCTTTCTCTGACTGATCTAGTGAAGACAAATCACTGAAACCAAACCGCGTTCATCGCTCGTGTCTTCTCTCAAGCTAAAGAGTAGCCCTGTTTCAAAACCAAACCCAAGAATCTCATTATTTGTCCATAATTGTCAACTCCAGAATAAAGGTAAATTCATTTTCACCTTCCTTTGCTATTTTCTCGAAGAGTCCGCCTTAATCTCCATGGCTCAGTCCGATTTAGCTTTAGCCTTAGCTATTTCATCGTCAAGTACAGTTGTGCTGCCGATGGCTTCTATCTATCTTCAGCTAGCCTCTAGAAATCCGACCTTACCTTCTCTCTGGGGGATGGTTTCAGAAGAAGTAGATGAGGACTGGAGATTTGTAGGTGGAAAGCTGATTTTTCTCGGTGATATTTCATGGCCATAGCTTCTGCAGATTAGTTTTTTTTCAATTTAGAATGAATTTAGGTTTAGAGATATAAGTTTATATAGGAGAAGTATTGAGGGGAGGTGAAACAAAACAATCAAGATTAATCGAGTAAAAAAATCAGACATTAGAGAAGATGGAGTGGAAGAGTCGGGGAGAAAGAGACCCTCGACAGTTGAAGATGATACAGGTTTGTCGACATGGGCCTATGTCGGGCGGAATGGAAATTTTAAGAAAATAAGCCCAATTTAACTCAACAACAATGACGTGGTTATTTTAAACAATTTGATTGGGTAAATATTTGTGGTGACGTGGACAGTCTAAATTGGCTTCATTTGCCCCTTTTAATCATAGTAGATTTCGGGTACGGTTTTTCTTTTGGAACATTTTAAGCGAAAATTAAAACGGTCGGTGAAACTTCCATGCTTCTTAGCCTAAAGCTGCCATACAAAATGATATCAAAACTGATCAGAGTATTAAAAACAGAAATGGGCACCTTCAGTTGTCACATGCTAGAAGCACGAGCGATACATTTTTGTTTCTTAGACCTTATCAAAAGCCACCATTTCGGTTTGAAACTTGGTACTTAAAGACATATCTTTGCCTCCCATTTCCTCCAATCACATCTTTCCTTGTCGATAAATTTTACTTCATATTATAGAAAAATCAACAGTCAGGATGGCCCGCCGCCTCGTGACAAGAGAATCTGCCGTGAAATGGGAACGTGACATCCACCCCATTCATTCAAGATTCTTCTATGAATCAACAATTTTCCTTGATATATTCAATATATAGAGCTCTATAGATATACTCCCTCTGTTTCAAAATAAGTGTCACTCTAAGCTCGTGCACACGAATTAAGGAAACAATTAATTTTGCATATTTTCTATATAAAAACACAATTATCCATACACCTAACTATATTTCAACCAATAGAAAAATAAATTACATAATAAAGTTAATAAATTTTGCCTTGAAAACCGAAAACGACACTTATTTTGTGACGAAAAATTTTCTCTACAACGACACTTATTATAAAACGGAGGGAGTATATTTTTAAAGAGATAGCACACTTGCTGGCCAAGGAAAAGAAAAAAAAGAAAGACCACACTTGATCGTTTAGAATTCAAAACTACAGAAACATACCACATCTTTGAAATATCATGTATAAGTACATAGATAGATGATGGGTCTGTGATTAAAAAAAAGGTGATGGTCTTCCTTATATTATATTATTTCCATTTTATAAGAATGTATTATCATTATTTTTATTTTTTTTTTTGAGAAAAGAGAATACATTATTTTCTCTTGGTGAGAAAGATGGAAGTATATCAGTGATCTAATATTTTGATTTATTTTATTTCTAAGAGATGATCCAGATGATCTAATATTTTGATTTGTTTTATCTCTAAGAGATGATCCAGTTATTATTAGTTCTACATAAATTTTCACGTACAGAATTAAAATTTAAACTATATGCATGATAAAATGACGACTCTCCTTCATATTCATTGTTTTCTAGCTTTCGTCCCTCTCATATAGATTCTTGGAAATTGATGTAACGTAAGTTGAGAAGTTTACAGACATCCATTTATACCTAACTATACGATTCTCAAAACCAATACTGTCAATATGTATGCATGTCTGTGGATTAAAGTTTACAACTTAATAAATATTTAATAACTACACATCAATCCTCTATATTTACACACACAAAACATACTATAATATTATACACAAACTTAGTTAATTTGACGTAAGGAAATTAACCACAGGAAAAAGATGTGACTGTTGGACTTGGTAAAGATTTGCTCCTGAAGTGACATCGTTATGTTTCGGATTACTGGCAGATTCAATGGTCTTCAAGTGCCCCATGTGTCCGGAACTGAAATGCTCACTATTTGTGACTATGATATGTGGTTGGTAGCCAAAAAAACTGGAATCGTTTTGTTTGGCTTATAATAATGTCAAAAGGTAAAAATAACCGGCTCACAAAATGGTTTTAAGAGTATGATTAACCTGAGGTTTTTTGAGATAGGATTTTTAATGAAGTCTGTTTTTTAATTTCCGTTAAGAATCACATTTTAAAAATTCAAGGTTAATTATGGCCTAACCATTTGATATATATATATGTATATATCATTTTTGCTTATTATATAGTTTTTACTGGATTCAAAATATCTAAGTGGACACTAACTATATATGTCATAAGCCATGACAGACTATTTTGAAATATATTTATGTGAATATTTAGTGGCCGATCCAGCCAATAATTTAAGAGATGTCAAGACCGGGATTGAATACTGGTTTAGGAGTGTCAATTGACAAATTTCTACCAGAATTGCCATCAAATGTTTATATATTTCTTCACATAAGGCAGTTTATTGTCTTTTATTTTCCTGGTATTTTATTTACATCACCATTTTATAATAAAATGGTGTTATTGCTGAGACTGAGACTGAGACGCGAGAGAAAATTACAATCTACCAGAAGTTAGAAAAGAAAAGTAAACTATTTGAATGACAGACGAATAGATTGACCCCTTAGAGCTTTGAAGATTGAAATTTTGGTAAAATACATAATGTCGCAAGAGAAGGAGAATTCTGTTCCCGAGTTCTTTGCTTGGTCGGCTGCACCACAACTTTCTGCTTAAAGTGTCCCTCATTCTAACTTATTTTGTATTATCATATAAGCAGAATGGCTGGTATTTAATCTTTTTTTTGTGTAACACATAGAAAAAACATTTGTGGAATAAACATAGATATTATCAATAAGAAAGAGAAATTGAAGAACATTTTTTGAAATTTTAATGTTAAGTTTTATAAATAAATAAAAGTTGCAAAAATGGAACTTATTAAGCTAGTACTCACTCACCTAAAATACAACCCTTGCAAGCTTTCCCAAGCAAAAGATCAAGATAGAAACCGCGTCAAAAGAACTTAATCAGTTGTTTTCGACTAGACGCAAGTTTAACAAGAATGGTCATACTCGATGGAATTTGTTACAATGAGAGATCTACTAAATTAACCTAAACACAAAAATCAAGATTAAGGATGTCATTAAAAAGATCCAGAACATTCAGTATTTGCTATACACCAATATTTTCGAGTATAAAATATAACATTATCTATAATATATTTTCTATATTACTTAAGTGCAATAGTAAGCAATTCTTCGTGAAAGTCAATTCAATTTTAAGCAGCAGAAAACTATAAACAAAATTATAAAGTTAAATTTGAGTACAATATAATGTTGTATAGGAACAAAGATAAATAAATATATATATATATATATATATATATATATATATATATATATATATATATATATATATATATATATATTATAGATCAGCGAACCGTATTTATTGTTATCTTGATATAGCATATAAAGATAAAATATATCAATTATAAAAATATAAATATCTCCCTGCCTATTATTACCACCCAACGTTTTTATGTGGGGAATAAAAATATTTAAGGTGTAAAATTAATTTCATTCATATTTCCGGCAATATCCATTTGAACCGTCCACCATCTTGCATGCCCATTACTACATTTTATTATGATAGAAAAGTATACCAAGTTGTGAAATATTAAAACTCCAAAACTTTCGTTATAAATAGCTCCTCTCAGCCCTCCAACAAAATCAAGCCATATCAACTATCAAAACCAAAACAACCAAACAAATAAACATACAATATGGCTTCCTCACAAAAACTCCTTTCTTTACTTCTCTTATACGTCTTCGTTTCATTAGCCTCCGGTAATGAGTCCATCATCAACAACAACCATCTCAATCTTCCATCGGACGGCTCATGGAGAACCGACGAAGAAGTGAGGTCCATCTACTTACAGTGGTCTGCCGAGCACGGGAAAACCAACAACAATAACGGTATCATCAACCAACAAGACGAAAGGTTCAATATCTTCAAAGACAACCTAAGATTCATTGATCAACACAACGAGAACAACAAGAACGCTAGTTACAAGCTTGGTCTCACCATATTCGCTGATCTCACTAACGACGAGTACCGGAGGTTATACCTCGGGGCAAGAACCGAGCCTGTCCGCCGCATCACTAAGGCCAAGAACGTTAACATGAAATACTCAGCCGCAGTAAACGATGTGGAGGTCCCGGAGACGGTTGATTGGAGACAGAAAGGAGCCGTTAATGCCATTAAAAACCAAGGAACTTGCGGTAAGTAATATTATGCAATTTTCATTTAGTCTATGATATTTAAATTATAAGTATTTAACGTCAATTTACACATGCTCCACATAATCATTTATGAATATGTATATGTATATCATTTATCTTCATCCTAAGTGTTTTATAAATGTATATTTGTATACAGACAGAGTAGGTTTATAAATTTTGACCATGGCTCATAAATTTTTTGATCATGTATTTTATATATTCGATAGTATATTATGCAAAAAAACAAAATAAACGTTTCTTTTGTTTTTTCTTTAGCAGATGTCACTTTCTCTTCTACAAGGCTTCCATGTCAATATATAATTATCAACTTTGTTTTAAATTTCATTAGATAATTGTTT